GATTGCAGTCGAGACGGCCCGAGTGGAGTTTCATGTAAATGTTTCGTACGGAAAAAAAAATCGCCTACGGCTCTGTACTTAGCAACAGAAGGGCGCCCTGTACGTTGGGCACGAAGTATAGGAAACTTGCATGGTTAAAAAGAAGGGCGCCGCCTACGTTGGGCACGACTTCCGCCTCATTTTTACAATGCGAGAACTCTAGCTATACTCTTTGAGGATATCGACACAACAGTGGAACCGAAGATAAGAAACAGCAGAAGACTTTTCAAGTATGGGGAGAAAAGTTACTCTAGCAACATGTACTCTTAATCAGTGGGCAATGGATTTTGATGGAAACCTAAAACGTATATTGCAAAGTGAGTTTTTTTTTTGTTAAGCCTATAGTAGGCCTAGGCCTGCTAGGCCGGTAAACCTAACTAGCCTACTATAGTAACTAGGGCCCTAACTAGGCCTAGGCCCTACCGACCGGTCATCCTGGGCCTAGGCCCTAGCCTTGGCTAGGCTAGGCCAAGGCCTCTAGAGGGGTGTTCGATCATTTCGGCCGCCACTCATTTCGGCCGCCGCGCCAAATGTACGGAACGCCAAAGGGGCCACCGAATACACAACAGCCGCCAATGAGAACAGCTGGATATACGTCATTAAAACAAGAATATTAAATCTATATTTGTTTAAAGATACAGTAAATGATTATTTTTATCCCCGAAACTTAGAAATACCGGGTTGGTGTGTCCGGCGGGGGATAGTTTCACTGTAATTAAGATATTATGTTTTTGTTGTTTTCTTTAACTCATTTTGTTTTCAATAATTTTTTCTTTTCTAATTATGTATGGCCTTGATGAAAAACACTCATGGGTGATTCAAGTGTCTCCGTGTTTATTATTATTATTATTATTATTATAGAATGTGTCTTATTAATATAATATAGGCGCCCTATGCCAAATAAGAATTATTATGTATTGTTAGTTTTATTGTACATCCTCAGATAAGTTTTATGTACAATGTGAAAATGTTTGATATTGATACGTTAGATACATTTTTCTTGCGTGATAATGAAATAAATGTAATGAATAAAAATGTGATGTAAAACAATATGCGGTTGTATAGTATACAACTTTGTTTCGTCACTTCTTGAAATATGTTTAAATTTTTGATATATTTTCAATGTTGAGAATTGGTGAATAAAATGAGAAGATATTTAACACATCTTGCCTCTTTTGTTTTATGTACAACTTTGATGACATGAATTTTACATGTGTATAGGTGTCTCCGATAATATAGTGCCCCGCCAATAATGATTTTCATAATAAAATCAAAGTTGTTTTTGTTTGTTTTTTTTTTATTACACCCGCCGCTGCCTTAAAATCTCCAACTGTATATTTCTTCATTCATATTATATAAATTTAAAGCATTTACCTATCTCCGATATGTTTTGTGTACAACGTGATTGTCTAATTATATACATTTAAAGCATTTAACCATTCCATTACTACACTGTTTACCAATAAAACAAGATACAAAAGATACATGGTGTTATATTCTTTATTGTACAATGTGTGAAAAATTTTACTACAATCAGTGCATAAGGACCAACAACGACCTGCAAGGTTGACATTACCGCCTAAACCACAGAGGAAGACGAGGTATTAAGATATTAAAATAAAAACTGTTACTTTTAACTATGTTAACACTGTGGAACTAACTACCAAAATGCATCATAACATAAATACATATGAAAACATGAATGAAGACAGCCTTACAAAAGAACTAAACAGATGAAAATACACCATTGTTGTCATATTCTTTTCCTTTGTTCTGAGAGTACTATCATTCAAATGAGTGTGCCTTGAAGACAACACCCATAAATTGTTGTCTAATAAGATTGGACTTGGAATATATAAATGAAATGATTGAAATATTATTATACATACAAAATTTCTTATAATATTTGATATTTTGTTCCTATATGATATTTAAGTAAATTACCTTATTTTTGTATAGAAAGTATAAAGTAAAAAACAGCAGCACTTTTGAGACTAACAATATATAATTTATTCTCTAGCTTTCGTCCACACAGTGGACTTCATCAGGACTTCACAGTCTCCTGATGAAGTCCACTATGTGGACAAAAGCTAGAGAATAAATTATATATTGTTAGTCTCAAAAGTGCTGCTGTTTTTTACTTTATACTTTCTATACTGTACAGACTACAGACTATTTTTGTATTTATTAAGTTTCAGTAAATAGTTAAATATTTACAGTAATTTTTACAACTTTAGTTTCAATAAAAGAAGACTATATACCAGTTTAAGTTTTGCTATTTTTTGCGAGTCTTGTAGTGAGGTGTTTCAATTTACAATACATATCATAATGCCATAATTAATATCACGAAAACGTATATAGTTATAACAATACAAAACATATAATTAACCATTAATCAAACTAGTTTTAGACAGAATTTATTTTCTCTCATCGTCTACCTGTAAAGAACAAATTAAAATCATTATCATGATAAATCAGTTTCTGCACTCATAATTGTTACAATAATTCATAACAACGAACATGCGTGTATAACATTCCAAAGTTTAAAAAAAGTACAAAATTACATTAAGTATCGTGACACACAACTCATTACTGTACGACTATCATCAGTTATTACTATAGATAATCAACTACAACTAGGCTGCCTTGCTACAACTGAGAAAATACAGTAGGCATTATTTATATTTTATTAACCACAAAAATAAATATATATACCTAATGAAAAACACGTAGGCATATTTCTATAGCATGCATTACATACAAATATGTAGGCCTATGCCTATACAGACGGAAAGTTAAATAAAAAAAAACGGCCAGATTATTATTTCCTTACGCTTCCGCATCCTGCAACAACCACACTACCAACAGAAATCTATTGGCACGCCATACTTTCTATTGTTAAAAATCTGGCGGCCGAAATGAGCGGCGGCCGAAATGATCTGAGACCTCTAGAGGTAGTCCTCGGCTCGGGCCTGGCTAAAAGAAACCTGGGGCAGGCCTAGGCTATAGCCGTATTAGCGCCTATAGCCTAGGCTGATAGATAGTATCGTGGGAACTTACTTGTATATATAAATGGTAACGTTTCTCACACACTGAGTGAGCTCACTTCTTTTTATTTACTAGCTAGGCAACTTGGTATTATGCCTATTATTTACATTATTTCAACGCTGTGGCTAGAGATACGGTAGGCCTACCGTAGGCTATTTCTATTTCCATTTGCTAAAGTTATGTTAAATGGCATTACCATCACCCAAAGAAAACAAAAATTCAGTGGAAACCCCTAAACCCCTTCGTTTTAACTTATGGTAAGCCGTGATCCAGAAAAAACGCATTGTATAGATTTTTGAGATTTGTGGCTTAGGGGCTTAGATGTAATCTATCATGTGAATTGATCTTATACCCCAAAAAGTGTTTGGCCAAGTCCCCGCCTGCTTCCACTTTTGGAGCCGCCTCCTATTTTTTGTTATTTATTATTTTTTAATTTCACTAAAATAGATAAAAGTTAGCCAAAAAAACCCCGTAAATACATTTTTTCGGTAAATACATCGTGCGCCAAAGTCTTCATGGCCTATACATATTGTTCTCCAACATTCACATGATAGTTTTGAATTATAATGCCTGATGAGTAGTCAATGGGCTAGCTAGGCCCACATTCGTTACTGATGCATGACCGTCTGCGTGATCTTCCAATCTCACTGGCTGGCGATGAAAATGATCGTATGACATCACCAAAGCAAGCGAGCTTGTTGGCCTAGCTCTAGGCTTAGGCCTCGATTATTACATCATTTTATGTAATTATATATTATACAACACCTAAATAGGTCATCCAAGCGTATGTATAGTGTTGGAGGAACATGGCAATCTGATCTTGGGAGAAAAATAACAAAAAAACCATAACAACAAAATAAAAGAAAATAATAAATATCAAGTGCCTCCTCCTTCCTTTTTTTTTTAAATCCGGAAGAGAAAAATGTATTCTTTTAATTATTTGGCCTTTAGAAAAATAAAATTAATATAAGAGTTACATGTTATATCCATCCACCAAAGCAAAAAAAATCTGGAAGAGTGCATTATATCCACCAAGCATTGAAAAGTAGGCAATCAACCAGTCACAGAAGACAATGGTGCATATTTACTTAGTTTCCTAGCTGGTGGAAGGGCATAATAAGTTTGTTTTTTTGTCAGAGTACAATTAATAAAAGAAGAATCATGCATTTTTCTTCCTCCTTTTAAGAATAAGTTGCAATATGACCAAGCTGTGGTCAGAATATAAATTTCAGTCTGTAATATTATTAACTATTATAACTAAGACCATTTAACAAACAACATAAAACACGTACATCAAACTTAAAAAAGCTTTACTTATTCCAAGTAAATTCTTCAAAATATTTAAATGAATGCACTTCCTTATAATTTAGGAAATACAAATTTATATGGGCATGAAGATGTGTATTTATTTTTTGTTTATTAAAGGAAAAGTGGGTATTCTTCATAGCAAATTTAAATAAACTGATTATTTATATTGAAAAAACTCACCAACAGTGATGTTTTTTGTTCATTCTGTAGTGGTTACTGATAGTATTTAATTAAAATTTTACAGTGTATTATACCATATCTTAGGGGAAATAAAAATTTACTAAATCAGATTAGCCACGTTTTGTAAATCTTTTATGAGAGTGAATACAATAATATTGGTAAATATATTTTTTAAAAAGCCCTTAAAAAAAGTTTCTTCTATTTAGTTTTGTTTTACGTTATTTATACATATAATGGAATTTAAATCCCTAAAATCCTGGTGAAATTTCAATTTAACTTGTAATTTTTTCATTTAATAAGATGTGTTTCATAGGAGGTCGAGATACATGATACATTTTATCGTATATAAAGATGTGGGTTACCCACATCTTTATATTTGCACAAGTAATTAAAACTGTTTATTGAGCTGATTAATCTCATTGATAAACAATTGTACTACATTTGGCTGGTGCATATGAACTTCTATTTAGAGACATAATTTCATTTTTTCCTTTCCAAAAAACTTAATAAACGTTAACTAGCACCTCATATCGACTTTTGAATGTTGAAAATCGGCTCAGTATAACCCATTTTATCGTGTACGAAATAAAAGTTAGTAGAACATACTGCTGTTACATTTTCTAGTTTTCTCCCTCCGTTGTATTTAAGTATATGCTACAGTTCTCACAATGAGCCAACAACTTTGGATAGCAGAGTTCCGCATGAGTGATTCAGCCCACATCTTTATATGTCTGAGTTAACGCATGAATGGTTTTATGGACCTTCTCAGGACTTTTTTCCTACCCTACATCTTTATGTCTTTGCTGAGAGTTCTGCTTGAACAATTTTGCATAACTTTTGGTATCTGCGCATGACATGTTTCCATTGCAGGATTTATATGTGTTGAGAAGTTGAGCATAATAATTTGGAAAGCTGACTCGCCAGAGTTTTAGAAGTTATTTTTATTTTTTGTTTTTATTTTTATACATTTTTTTTGCTTTTAAAGCTGCTGGCACCTATCTATTGTAGTCTTGCTTGATTTTGTATTGCCTTTTTTTTATCTTAAAATAAATGAATGAAATAAATGTTTTAGACATTAAAACTTCACAAAACTTCAACATTTAAAAAAAACATCTGAAAACCTACCTGTTCTCGGAAGCATTGCAAATTTAACTTTGTCGAGCGCCTTTGAACATTGGATACCGGCGCTATATAAATGCATTTGATTGATTGATTGATTTGGAAAATTTGAATTGTTTTCTGTCAAATTTATGTATCTTTTATTTGATTAGTAAATAATTATTAGATAGGATGATTTATATGAAAGAATGGTGGTGCTGTTCTTTATATTTGAAAACAGAGATGGGCCTCCTATCACCACGGAAATGAAACTGCAGAAAACAATTGCAGATCTTGCTACTTTTCAAAAAGTCTATTGAGTGAAAGTAGGTCAACATTATTTCGAGTAAACAGCCTTAAAAGTTATTTGTGAATACATTGTTTACTGAAATTAACTACCAAAATAATGTTAAATAATTGTTTGTTGACCATTTCCACAACTAGACACTGGGACAGGATTAATTGATAGCAAGCAATATTCAATGATTTACCGTGACAATAATGTAAAGTTTGCTACAAATAGAAAAAAAAATCATAGGTGAGCATAATAGGTACATAAAAATAAAATGACAATTAAACAATCATAACAAACGAAGAAAAAAACAAATTAAGTCAGCATACTGTAGGTACACAGAAGACTATACAAATGTGTGAAAATGTTTAAAATCATGAAATACTACATTATTTTTTGTAGCCCACTATATGATTGATTTATGCCATAACAATATAAAATAAATATGTATCAGTCAAGAACTGCTTATGTAATAAGAGTGAAAACCTAAGAGTAGGCCTATATCTAGATAAAGACTGATAATTTTTTTTCTATTTAGCCATGTACCTGTACCTGCTATGTAAAAAAAGCATATTTATCTCCCTGAAGTTACTTCTTGCAACTTTTGGCTCCTAATAGATATTTCTTTTAGCCTTGAGTCAAAACCTGCAACATAGTAATTTTAAACATTGGGTAGTTATCTATTATCTATATGGCTTGTATAGAACATTGCGATATTTGAAATAAATATTTTCAAAAACCTGGCAACTACCGCCTGTGAGAATTCCAGAGGCCTGTACACTTCGCGCTATGTAGTTACAGTGTATGTGCAGCACTCTATTTGACACTAGCTAGCTGCTCAGGGTAGGCTAGGCCGCTGGAAGTCCCCCAGTGAGTTGGGAGATGTTGGTGGCGCTGTTTCAAAATAAACCTGATAAAATGGTCTATACAGTAAGACCGTATTTTTATCCTATTTGTATTTCAATCAATCAATCAATCGGAGATTTATCAGGTGCACGTATCTATCAACCATGGTATGGAGATGCTCGTAGCGCCGCAGCCTAAAAAATTATGATGCATGTACTGTACGGTAATCCCAACAAAAAAAAAAGAGAAAAGGACAATGAACAAAGAAGAAAACAAAAAACAAGAACTGATGAAAGTGAAAACTGAAATGGAAAGTTCAGATTTGAAGTGCCCAACTGATTCAGAAGTACTGTATGAGTGATAAGTGGGATTTCATTCCAGCAAGAGGGGTCAGCCACAGAAAATGAGCAAGCACCCCAAAGGATCTTACACATAGGAGTAAATAAGAGGCATCAGCAGATCTAAGACCTTGCCGCACAGGCTGTTACGGATTGAGAATGTGGGCAAGATATTCGGGAGTGCATGAGTGCCTTATAAACAAGAAGCTGAAACTTATATTTTGACCTGATATGGATAGGTAACCAATGAAGGCTTTTGAGTACAGGAGTGATATGATCATGTTCTTTTGTTTGAGCGATAAGTCTAACAGTGGTATATTGAATACTGTACGTTGCAGCTTGCCTGTGAGAGATTTCGGGAGGCCAAAAAGAACCGAGTTACAGAAATCTACAGTAACCTTGACAAGGATTTCAGTGACAGAAGTACTAATATTCTTGCGAATTCTTCCAATATTTCAAATGTGCAGATGACAAGCTCGGCAAAGTGCATTGACATGATCTACCATGGACAATTGGCAATCGAAAGTAAAGCTGCTCTCCCACCTAGGTTTATTTCACCTAAGAGTCGTACGATTTCTACGAGTTAAAACTCGTGATCTTTGGAAAGGACCTATACGAGCTTATTACGTGTTAGCTACGAGTGAGGTACGACTTTATGGAGTTGGTTACGAGTTATGTACGAATTATGCCGAGCAGAGCACTGAGTTAACTACGAGATTATTAAGAGCGTAACAAGTTTGTACCGAATTAGATACGAGTTAGGTACGAGCCAACTCGGTGCGCTCGTACTTACTCGTACTAGTTTCGGGGTGCTCGCATCAAACTCGTAGATGACAAAACCGCCGACGAGTATCCAGAGTAGTGTACGATCTTGGTAGGAGCACCCCGAGTACTCTACGAGCTACCTATGAGTTCTTCGAGTTTACTACGAGTTATCTACTCGTGGCGATAATTTTGAACATGTTCAATATTAGCGCCACGAGTTCAGAGCTGCTACGAGTAGGTAAGAGTCCTCTCCGAGCTTTCCGAATCGTCCTACGAGTTTTTGCCGAGTTTGCCGAGTTAGCAACTCGGCATTCTCTTGTAACTCGTATACTGAAAAAAACCGTAGTGGGAGAGGGGCTTAACTCCTAATTTTCTGCAAATTTGAGAGGGCTGTATGGCAATATCACCATCAACAAATTTGTGGTGCCCCACTTTATTGAGGTTACGGTGGAGCCAATAACCATAAACTCAGTCTTAGATTCATTTAGCTTTAATGAATTTGCAGTGTAAGTCATGTTTGGATTTCCAGAATACAACTCTGAACCTTTGATAAAGACAGTGCAAGATCAGTCGGATTTGGATTAGCAGAGGAATAAACCTGAATATCAGCTGTATAACAGTGATAATTAAGTCCATTGGACTTGATTATTTTACCAATTGGAGTTATGTAAAGTGAAAGGAGTACAGGCCCAAGGACAGAACCTTGAGGAGTATGCTGTGACTAACAGTAAGGAGCTCTCAATTTGTACGACGCTAGAACGAACTCACTCATGCGTGACAATCCTACCTGGTGCCCTACATTTTATGTAGGTTTGGCCAGATAGCATTCCAAAATTTACTCTACAAGGTGACCTTAATGTTCTCACATGCACAGATGCCTTATAGTGACATCATTATGTTCTACGTCCTACCGTTGTCGTCCAATCAAAAGCTCCCTAGTTACCGTTCTGGAGACTGCATCGTGTATTCAAATATTGTTCATTCAGAGAGATAAGACTCAAAACTATTTAAGAGCAAATCCTTGAATTCCAAACCAGGATTTCTGCCTCGTCAATAAAATATTGTGATCCACAGATTTTCCTGATGATGACCACTGTGAGATCAAAAGTTTGTGTGTCAATAAAATTTATTAATCTATTCGAAAGTGCTGTTTGTCTTGTATTTTGGACTACTGTATGTCAGCTATTTGTTTTGCTTTGTTTATCTACAGTATTCCACTGTTAAATCTTATGAAATGACAACAGCACTTTTAAGACTAGCCTAAAAATTTTTTGGCTCTAGCTTTTTGTTCACACAGGGACTTCACCAGGAGACTCTAGAAATAAAATAAAATAAATAAAATGGGATAAGATACAATGTGCTGTTAATTAGCATCCAGTCTCTTAATAATTTTTATATTTTTATAGATTTTTATATTAGTTTTTCATCAAATGTTTTTGTATTCCTAAAGTTGTATTACAAACCATTTCAGCCTTGGCTGCTGTTTATAACTTACAGTAATGTTTTTTTTTTATACCGAATATATATTTATATAAAATAAATCTCCCTTTCACTTTTGATATTTTCTTTTCCTTTTCTTTATTACACCTTATATCCTTTTATTTTTCCTTCATTATAATATTTTCTTTTCCTTTTCCTTTCATTTTACTCATTATAACTTTAAGGCACAGGTGCGCAACGACAGCAATTTTTTACGGCCCGCAAAAATGAATTAAAAACCCATGTGTGCGGCCAGCCAAGCAAGGCTAGAAAACACCTTGTTTTTTACGGCCCAACACCAATCATATGTAAAAAGTACATCAAAACTGAGAATAAAGTGGTGTAAGAGCAGTGCTTGGAGATTTTTAAAAGCCCACTGGAAACATCAGATTTGGGTGTGGCCCTCGGTGTTAAATCAAAAGTTCACTTTGGCCCTCCAACTGATTTTTATGCCCACTCCTGCTTTAAGGGCTTATCTTCCTTTACTCTTTCATGATTAATTTTCTTCTTTGCATTTGCAGTGACTGAAACACTAGCTAAATACTGTAGTTCCATTACTTTTTTTTTTAAGGTATCAAGTTGGCAAAAGAAAAGGGTGCAAGATACAGGCTAGGACCAGAGCTTGAAATAAGGTATTATTGAAGCACCACTATTCGACTCAAAATATAGCTAACCATGGCATTTTGGTTCTTTCATGCAAGAAGATTAGGATCAAATTGAAAGAATAACACATTTTTCAGTTTATGAAGTACACATTTTTGTTGTAATAAGAGATATTGTATAAAAGCTAACTCTGTACGTTGGTGGGTGCTAACGTCCTGTTACAAATCTCAGGGAAAAAAGTGTGAAAATTGTTTTTATCGTATTGATTGTCGTCATATGATGTTATTCTAATTTCTGTGACTTCTTGCAGTGGATATGGTTGTGGAGATCATTTCTTTGAATCAGACACCTGTCTGCATTCTCTGCAAGTTCTTGCAGAGCTTTTGAAATCCCCCATTACCGAAGACATCATCTGTGAAACAGGAATGTAAGTATTAAAACATACTAGAAAGCAAAATTTTAAAATGCTAAAAAATTTAATTATTAGAATTAAACCCCAAACCTAAGTATTTAACCCATATTACTATTCCACATACCATTCAGATTAGGAATACGTCCTAAAAACTGCGCTTCTTTGTAAATCCTGTACCAATCCAAGAATCCAAACAGCAGTAACTGTCTCTTATACACATCTAGATGTGTATAAGAGACAGAACATAGACAGACATAGATTTAAAATAACATTTTCCACCGATTTCTATTTTGCTAGCAACCTGACCTAAATAATCTAAATAATTAGAGTTACACATCTTTAAATTTCTAGATGTTAAATCTCCATAGAGTGTTCTTAAAAGATTTCTTTGGTGCTTTCCTGTGCAACCTTTTTAATTGCTTAATAATGCACAACAGCAAGTAACAAATAAGCAGTATATGCTGGGGTATCCTCGCACATTCTAAATGTATAACCAAGCATGGACTACCTCATCTTATTAATTCTTTCACATGTCTATTACACTAGTTTACCACAAACACTTCGTTATTACTAATCTGTCTGGGATATTTTACATGGTTCTTAAGTGAGACCTATGACAAGTATCAATTTTCCTGATGATACCTTTAGTAGACCAGCTATTGCAATTGTATAATAACATAGACACCACTATCATATAATTCAATTCCGAATTTTTACTATAAAAGAGAATATCAAATTAACATCTATGTTAAGTTATTTTTAGTAAATGTATGTCTAACTTTTGTTTATGGTTTATCATGACTCTTGTTTTAAACTTTTCAGGCCGATAGTTCACAAGAATGTGAGGTATAACTGTAGAGTGATATTTCTGAACAAGTAAGTCAAATAATTATATTTAACCTAATATTTACATGTAACTAATGTGCAAGGGAAAAAAATCAATACAAAATTTATAAAGAGTCTTCAAGCTGAAACTTCTCTCAACTGGCCCAAAATGATTTGATTTGATTTATTTTGCATTCAGAATTTTCACATATTAAATAAAAATGATGAAACAATACATAAATAAAAAGTGAGAAATAATTATTTGAATGTCTCAATGACCTACCGTTTATTCTCACGTATAAGACAAGACTTAAAATAGCAAATTATGATCGAAAAAAAGTTGGTCGTCTTATGCTCAAATCGTCTGTAATATGCAAATTAAATACTCATATGAATGAACTAACTGTTAGTATGAATAAATGCAATTAATGCAGGGAAATAAAATTTTGATGAACATTTAAAAGCCCATAAAATAGTATTATTTGGAAGATGGGACCTATATTTGACTTAATTTTAGCCTGCTTGATGCATTATTAAGACCATAAAAAGCAGCAAAAAGTAGGAATTCCGTTGATAAAATGGGGGCCGGGTGGGGGTCATACGCCTGACATACGAAAAGGTGGAAATTTAATTTATTTTTATTACGCCCTCTGCTGCCTTGAAGTCTTCAAAGCTAAGATATGTATATTTCTTCCTGATTGCATTTGAAGAATTTAACCATCCTATTTTAACTACATTCACCAATAAGATTTTATTTTTATTTTCTCCTTCGTCTGGATGATTTTGGCAAAACTATTTGCTAAATTAGAAAACAAAATTTAATTTTTCTTTTTATCCGCCCTCCTCCGATAATCTTTAAAAAAAAAAATTACGCGAAACTAGGAATAAAAAAGGTCTCGACTTATACAAAAAATACTGTAGTTAGCCCATATTATTATTGGTGAGATATGACATTATCATGTCCATGAGCAAATCACAAAAAAAATTTTCTCATAAATCTTGTTAAAGTGAACAGAGCTTTAAATGGTAAATTCATAATGTTATATTTACCTGACATGCCAACCACTCCAATTTCGGTGGAGTTACTCCGTTTATTTAAGCAAAACTCCGCACTCCGATTTTGGGTCGAAAATCTCACCTTTTTATGCATTTTGGCCAGCTGAAATAAATCACGCATTTCCGAATAAAAATGATAATCCTATTATTTAGTTAAGAACAAGTCCACTTAATTTCGTCCTGAAAGCAGTGCTCTGAACTGTATACGAAATAGTAATTCGCACTCTACGGTCTACTAATTTCGAAAAAAACCAATTTCATTGACCAAATTGCTGTCGGAGTTGCACTCCGAACTGTATACAAAAAATTACTTTGAGCTCCACGGTCTACTGATTTCGAAAAACACAAATTTCATTGGCCAAATTGATGTCAGAGTTGCACTACACTCTAAACTGTATAGTGCTCCATGGTCTACTGATTTCATAACAACAACAGTCTAGTAAAGCACAATTTTGAAAATGGAGTCAGATGAGAGCGATATGGATCTAGGCCTAGGCAGTGCTTGAAAAACAAGTAGTAGTGTTGAGCTTCCTCCAAAAAAGAAGCTAAAACACACGCAAATATGCAAGTTAATAATGGAAAGTATCCTGTCAGTTTGAAATCAAAAATACGAGCATACCTACGGTATGCTCGTTGCGATTGGTGCGGTGTTAATTTTCTGCCTAGGCCTAGGGCCTAGTCAAAACGGTTACATTTTACAATCCGATCACATTGGTACCATGTCTTAGGAATACTCCTCTCACATTGCCAAAACTCCGCTCAGAAGTTTTTCAGACTCCTCTAGTTGGCCTTGTAGGGTTGGCATGTCTGTATTTATAGGGCAAAGTGTGCTATATAAAGCGATTTGTTTGCGGTCCGTGACAATGAATTAAAAACCAATCATAATAACAATGAGGCTAAACTACTCCTATTCCTTGAACTAATTAATGGTTTGCTGTTGACTCCAAGGAGCTCATCCACCCTTTGTTCAGCTGTTGGTTTATCTTGCTGCTGGGTGACCATAAACACCCTCCCCTCAGCAGCCACGAAGACATATCTGAGAGGGTTGTCAGTTTAGTTGCCGACGCTTCGACCGAATGGAGTTTAATGTCGTACCCAGGATGTCCCTAACTACCTTAAGCTAGGCTTAATACTCTTAAATACTGTACTTTACTCTTAACTACAAATTATCTACCATTGACTTTTCAGAAAAATCCTTCTTATCCGACCAAAAATGGCATTGTGTAACCATGGAAACTATCGAGAGCTTCGTTGGTTTACACCTTGGAGTAAACTCAAACAAGTTGAGGACTTTTATCTTCCACAAATTCTAAGGGATATAACAGGACAGGTACGATTTCAGTTATATAATTTATCTTATTTTATTTAATAATAAACTAAGCTGTTAATCATAGGGTGTATATAAGTTTCTGTGTTTCTTAAGAATTTAGTCCATCAACAAATGCAAATGTTCTTTCCACTGCACAAATAAAAACATTTCATTGTTTGTATTATCATACCCTTTAAATAGATTTTGATACATGTGATACTTAGGAAAAATAGATAGGCCTACCTTGTTTCCAATGGAATTCATCCTTCTTCTTTCAGCTTATGTGGCAAAGACAAGCCAAACCAGTCATTCGTCACAAAACGTGTTTTCAGAGAAAATGGCCAAAAAATGCTGGAATATGTCAATTTAAAAAAAATTAATTTCATTGCAATTTACTAACCTCTATTTATCTATACATAATGCTACAGTATGCTGTTATTTTCCTCATTTGCAATGTTAAAACAACACTTTTCAAAGATTTGATGACAATTTCTGCATGAGAAATGCCCGAAATCATAAAATTTGAAGGCTGATTTCTCATATATTGTTCTTTAAACAGCTTAATGTTTAAACACTTGTAAGTTTATAAGGATATGTCAGATTTTAATGATTTTTTAACCATTTCATAGCTCTTATTTTACTCTTTAACACTGTATTAATAACAATTTTTGCGACGAGTGACTGTTTTGGCTTGTCTTTGCCACATATACCAAACATTGTATTAGAGGCTTGCAGTAGAACAAAATGAATGGTAAAAAATGAATAGAAATTGAACTAAATTAATGCATGAAATTATTATGAGTGATGAAAACCTAAAATCTTATTTGGGATTGGAAATCATGCATCCTTATTATCTATACAACTCCACTCCAGTTAAAAAACATTTGGATTATATATTATTTTTTTCTATAGAAAAGTGTGCCATTTGGTATGGGAGTGTTATCAACACAAGATACATGTATCGCTCCTGAAATCTGTGAAGAATTATGGGCGGCTGAAAGGTATGTGTTAATCAGTTAAAATTTTGTGTAGTCTTTTAATGATGGTAAATAAGTGTTCACCATCACCATAGTCATGTTCAGATGGCCTTCTAGCTGAAGTAAATTTACACCAGGTGTACAAATGCAGGCTTTACTTTAGACAGTGTCCATACAGCACTTCTCTGCCCAATGCATAATGTGCATTTTACTTCAAAAGCTATTCCAAAGCTTATAAGTAGCACACTTTACTCCTTGGCCTTCTGTAGAGTAAATCGTCAGTAGTAACTTTGAATTTGCTTAAAATACAAAGTGTATCTTCACAGGCACTGCCTAGGGCTTACGACAGTTAAACTGCTTCTTCTGAACTTTTCCAGCTCATCTGAAGGTGACTAATGACATTTGGAAGCATGGAATGGCTTATTAGTGAAGTCTTACGCTACTTTATATCAAATTTAACGCTGAGTATTATAACAAATATACATGTTTTCATGTATTTTAATGCCAACAAGCCAGCTGATTTTTTTGTGATTTGTGTCAAGTTTGTGAACCACCAAAATAATTTGGCGACCTACAGTCTACCCACTGTTAAAACATCTCTTACGAAAATTGGTTTGCTGTAGTGGCTTATTCCAGTTATCTAGCTGAAAAAGCAGATCAGCAATGGAACCATAGAACAGGAAATCCTCCATGGCTAGCACACACACAGCCTTTTCAATTGAATCCTTTATGAACCTTGAAACAATAAGTAATTTTTGTCTAAAAAATCCAAAGCTTGTGAATACAAGGACATTTTTAGCCCAGTTATTGCTGACTTGCATTCAATGTTTTGCTTTTATGTTTCTTATAGCCCACATGTTTCAATGAGTCTAGATGGTGTTGAGATCTTCACAAATGCCAGTGGAAGTCATCATGAACTACGGAAGCAGTTTGAAAGACATGACCTTCTGAAGACAGCAATGATGAAGGTACCATAAACAATTTATACTGTAATTGTCCAATATATTGAAATAAGCTCTGAATAGACATATTCCGTTAGGTTGGTCATGTGACGTAAAGTGGGTATCAATTGTGACGCTTCTTCGGAGTGTTTCTACAAAAAGATCAAAAAACTTTATTATAAATATTGGCGTTTTCAAAAACTGGTAGAACCAAGATTTAATATACCAGGGAAGAAATAAATTATGTAAATTTCCTATCCTAATTTATACCCCCCATGGTGACAGTGCATAAGACCTTGTTTGGGCTCAGTCTTGCAATGTTTTTTTTTTCTTCTCCATTTAATGTTCTTGTATTTTTGTTCAATTTAATGTTTTGTATAAATTTTTATATGATTGCAATAGTAATAATAATAATAATTGCAATAGTAATGATAATAACAATAATAAATTGTAGTTATTGGTTTTATAGTAATAATTGAAATTTTAATAATTTTAACTATGCGATATTTAATATTTTTCTTCCTTGTGAGATTGTCGCTTTTTTAGGATTTTACTGTTTTTATTATTGACGTTTTTATGTGTCTTCTTTTCTCATTGTACATTTCAAAATTTGTATTTGTTTTGCACTAAATTTATATTGAATTTAATTACTGTAAAGCACATATTTGATGTTGAATAATGTTGGTTGGAATGCCAGTAAACTATACCAAATTGATTGGAAATTGACATTAAGAATTTCACCATAATGGTTTGCTAATGCTCCAAAGATACTGGCCCCAAACATTGAGATTTTGTGAGAAATGTTAGGCCTAGTCCCTTGCATATCTACGACTATAAGTATGCACAAGTCTTTGATCAGCAAACTGCGATTTTAAAATGCTACGATTTCTAGGCTAGCTTTGTTTACGAAAGATCACATAAATTGCAAAGCACATTGAATGCTAGAATAAGTAAATAAACACTATTTTGAACAATCATAGTGTCTTCCTTGCCGGTTATTTCTCACATTAATGATGGGTGGTTGTTTTTCGCGACCATAACATTATCTTTTCCTATACCTTAAACACTGATCACACTGTAAATTCTCTGTAGTAATACCAACTAAATGTCAAGTGACCAGCTGTAAACAAACCTCACAGAATGTGTCTATTGCAAAGAAAAAGCAGCATGAAACGAACTAATATTTATTGGGTGATTCGCTTTTAAAGAATCATATCTAGTTTTGAAATTTGCCTGTACAAAATTGGTGTTAGAAAAGGTATAGCCTAATAGATGTTCACATACTGAGAATAGTTTGTCAGCCTAACTATAACTTTAATCTTCTCACTTACGGAAGCGGTTTGGTGCAGCGGGAACGATTTGGTTTCCCAACCTCGAGGTCGGGGTGTTAATACTTCACTGTGTAATTGTGTCCTTGAGCAAGGTAATTTATTAGTGTTTTCCCCTCCACCCAGGAGTATGAATGGGTACCTGGTAGGGTTACCTGCTATTGCGCCAATATGACAACAACACATGTGGACCCAATGACCAGGAGAAAACAAAGCACTTTGTAACCTAAAGGAAATGTGCTTATAAGTATATTACATATATTATATGTGTATATAATTACCAAATAACACTTAGTGCATCTCTGCTGGCAGCATCCACTCTTACTATGGTCTACTAAAATGGTCCTATCTTCGCAGTTTTTTATCTGTCATTCTTAGTCTACCATCCTTTTTTCCGTCTTTCCTCATGTTATTTTAACTTTGCTTTAACTATCCATATCTAACTGAAAATATATTTTAGCATGTAATTGTATTTTTCTTTAATTATTTTGTACCAGTGTGGTGGCGTATATGTATATTCAAACCTCCGTGGCTGTGATGGAGAACGTGTGTACTACGATGGAGGATCTTGTATATGCATCAACGGAAACATAGTAGTCGTTGGCAATCAGTTTGGCATCTCTGAAGTGGTAGGTAGAAACTTAAAATGACTCCTAACTTTAGCACAAATTGTTTATAGTTTTTTTTATGACCATTTTACAATATGTACACATGGTTTTTATATTTTAATAATATTTATAAATTGGTAAAAATCATTAACATTTTGTTGCACTATTTTATTCTAATATTATATTATTGTTTAAAAATGAACATTTATAAACAATAATATAATATTACATTATATAATATAAACAATAATATAATATATTATTATATTATTTATAAACGTTCATTTTTAAATAAACTATTTTGCGACTATAATATTATTGTTTTTTTGTTTTAAACTTTTTCTGTAATAGGAAGTGGATGTAGCTACCATGGATTTAGAAGATGTACGCTCTTATAAAGCTGAAATCAGCAGTCGTTCCAAGCAGGTATCTATATCTTTTCTAATTTGTTTTACAAAATTATCTTTTTGATTTGATTTTTTATTTTTTAGTATACTGTACTTGCACAGATGCTTTGGTGGTCGAATTCCTCTGTAAGAAGCAATGTGTTAAGGTTCATCATGAGTTTGCGTTCCAACTACCTATCCAACTAATATCAGAGAGTTGGTAATTGGGCCTTCGTGTTGACAGATGACCAATGGCTGATAGCTGCAGCTTCTCTGATAATGAACTATGTTTAGAGTAATTTTGACCTAGTTCCTGCAGTATACTCGTGCTCCTATCAGAAGACTACTTTCTTATATACCTCCTTACATTTAAATTGTTTTTTTTTTTTTTATTCCTTAAAAGTTGCTAAATGCATTTATGTCTAACTGTTTAGCTTATTGAGCTACAATATAATTTCTACCTTAGGCTGCTCGATCTGAAAGCTATCCAAGGGTTTTTGTTGAGTTTTCTCTGTCGAGGCCTGGAGATCACTTACTTCCAACAACTGAACATATTGCCTACAGATACCACACAGTAGAGGAGGAGATCACTCTAGGCCCAGCTTGTTGGCTTTGGGATTACTTACGAAGGAGTAAGCAGGTATTGAATCAAAGCTGTGTTTTCCACTTAAAGTTAAGCCTTGCCCAGATTATCAAATTCAATTTGACAAACACTTGCGATATGTCAATATGTTCATGATGACATCACATAATGAGCATATTATAGGCACATTATGACTATATATGGGCAGTTTTTTGTCTAAGAAAATTTGATAGTGTAGATCGAGCTTAAAAAGCCAGCAGACAAATTTCTCAGTGTGCTTTGTCTGCATTTGTCTGAAAAATTGGGGCAGCATTTAAAAAAAATTTTTTTTTTTTTTTTTTTTTCGGTCACAAATTTTAAAAAGTGATCTTAATTTTTCTCAATTTTGTGTGAAAGCTGTCTAAGTTTGATGTCTGGTGTAAGGTATCACCATTCTAGGCCTAAATTCATTGCAAAATATTGATTATGAGTTATTTTTATTCAGTCTGATGAATACTGTACCTTTTGAAAAACAAATAGTGAGACAGGCTTAATTGCAAGCATTGCGATTTAATATGATAATTTTGGTGACAGGAGAAAAAAAAACTTTTTTGCGTCCGTCTCCTCTATACAATTTCAATTTTCAGCATTAAAGGGCAAACCAACAATTTATTTTTTAGGCCTGATCATCGGCAGAATTTGGAAATGATTGTCATTTAAAACAATGTGTATAGTAAGTTCTTGTGTCGTGGTATCTTAGAATATTGTCTGCTGACACAGCTGATGCATTGTGCAGGGCTTAGTAGTCGATACTAGCTTCATCAGGTGTATCATTAAAAAAGTTCAATTTAAAATAAATACATAATCTTGAAATCATGTATCAAATTTACTGCTTCTATCATTGTTAAACGAAAGTAAGGCACACACTGCATATGCACTATGCAGAATAATGCAATTCTATAAACTTGCATGAGAGATTTTTTTTAATGTGAATTTATGCCACCGACAAGCAGCAGATGGTGTCCCATCGTCAAGCAATCACACACAGTGGAGATGGATTTAGCGACTATGCAGTGTGTCCCACAACAGCAAAAGAATAAACATTTATTTTGCAAATTGCATAATGATTTCTCTATATTTACATATCTGTTTATAATACATACCTTTGTAATTTTAAATGCTAGTTTCTGAAAGCAATATACATGGTATTTGTGGTATATTTAATTGTTTTACAGAATGAAACTTTCCTGAATATTAAAAAAAACCAGAAAAGGGGCCTTTTATAGAGCTTTGTAAATTAAGTTTTTTAAATTAAATCAAGTGAAACCCTTTATTTTTGTAAAACACAGTAACTCCGAAAAGAGAGTTGTCCTTTAAATTCTTGTTATTTATTTTTATTATATTTTACTAAAATGTTTAAATACTGTATGTGTCTTTGATTTTAATATTGTACTGTATCACTGTATCACTTCTCCTTTCTTGAAGGTTTCTTGAATGTAAGTGAAATTGAAAACTTTACTGTGTTAGTTTTTTAGATACGAGTTTAAGAAAATTACATTTTTGTTTTGTTTTAGGGTGGATTCTTTTTACCTTTAAGTGGAGGAATTGATAGTTCATCTACAGCATGCCTCGTAGCGTCCATGTGTCATTTGGTTTGTAAATCAGTTGCTGATGGAAGTAAGTACGAATAATGAGATTTACAGCAAAGTAGCGTTGAAATAGCGCGCCAATGAACAAAAGAGATTTTCTATACCTATACAGTAGCTGTCTGAACAAGCACACACGGCTCAAACTGGATTATATTTTCGCTGAAAACAATTGAAAATTCTTTCTTTCAAATGTCAGTTTATTGGTTTAAATGTTGTCTTTCTTAGCTGATGTAACATTTTATACAAGTACAATTTAATAAAACGTTTAGTAGTTAAAAATGTTCGCTCATAATGACGTCATCGCCACAAATCGACTTCATAAAATTTGTAAGCTCGTAATTAAGAGATGTTACTCTATAAACCTAAATTGACATTTCTGCTGAAAACAATTGAAAATTCTTTCTTTCGAATGTCAGTTTATTGGTTTAAATGATTTCTTTCTTAGCTGATGTAACATTTTATATTATTTTTAAGTACAATTTAATAAAAGTGTTTGTTGTAGTTAAAAATGTTGCTCATAATGACGTCATCGTCACAAATCGACTTCATAAATTTGTAAGCTCGTAATGAAGAGATGTTACTGTATAAACCTTAATTAACAGAGTATTAGATCAGGTGTGTTGTTGAGGTTTGCTCAGATATATTCTTGTGTGTTATACCGTAAAACCTCAAGCAGAAGCCAATAAATGGGCTTGAGATGAAGCCCATCTCTATTGAAGTTCCCCTCTTTAGTTTGCAAAGGTAGCCTCGAAAAGAAACCCATGGGCTTCTTTCAAGATAGCATGGGCTTCTTTTTGAGATAGTACACTATATACACTGTACATGAATTTCAAACAAACAAAATAAATTTAAAATATGCTTGGTTTATACAGTAGTTTAGGTGATGCTGGTTAATACACTCAGTGAAACAGCCTGATGTTACAGTGGCCATATTTATTGCTTTATAGTAGTAATTCCCAAAATTTACAGCATTCATTTTGAAAAAAAGCCCACCTATTTTCTTTGCAAAAGTAGCCTAAGAAATTAGCCCATCTCGAAAAGAAGCCCATCCAAATGTCGCAGAAAAAAAAATGTGAATGAATGTACCCATTGCTGTGAAAACTGACAAACCTGAAACTTTTAAATACAACATTAAAAATACTTTAAAATTAAAAAATACAAAATAACCTATCCACCTCCAACGATTCAAGTTTTTTACTCTTTTATAATGAATGTAAATTGTTTTTTCTATGTGTCTGTATTGATGGGATTTAAAAAAAATTCTAATTATAAGCTATTAATGTGCATAAAAAAAATAAATAATTCAAATGTATTGAATTTTATTTTCAGCTTGAATATACATTTAATGTGTATACAAATATACATATTAAAATTTCATATTTTCTTTGAAGATTTGGAAGCTTTGCGGGATGTACAAAAAGTCACTGGTGATGCAAGCTACATCCCAATAGAACCACGAGAACTGGCCAGTCGGATTTTTGTAACATGCTACATGGGAAGCGTCAACTCTTCCATGGAGACTTGTACACGGGCGCGGATGCTGGCTAATCAGATAGGAAGGTAAGAATTGTCCATGTCATATTACTGCAGCAACATTAAGCTTGTTGACTCAATGTGGTAGAAAAAACACAGTGCTTCGTAACCTAAAGGAAAGACGTTAAATACCCTGATAAATAAATAATATTGGTATGTTGAGGTTTTTAAAACATAAGATAAGCAATTAGACCTCGTTTGGCTTTCAGGCAATGTTTGTTGTTCTACTTGTCACAAGATATAATATATGTCTTTTTTTTTTATGTGTGTATGAGAATGATTTGCTAGTATTAATTCCTACTGACAATCTTTGGCATACGACGAAGATGAATAGTTTATTAGGTATTAACTAGGCTAACATCCAGGTAGACATTTGTTATAGATTTACAATGACAATGACATCTTCTTATTTTCTTTAAACATCAATAGAAAAATCATAGCAATAATCATAGATAATATTAAAATATTTTAGCATTCAAAGAAAAGTTGAAATTCCAGAAGCATATGCTTGTAAATGGAACACCCCGTTACTAAATTGAAACACATCAACAATATAATCAGTTAAAAATTATAAATAAACATTATGCCATATCAAAAACAATATTGCAGTTTAACAAAAATAATATTTTCTTTATTATTATTATAAGCAGATTAACTTTTTAAATGTTTTCTAATACTGTAATACAATGTATTGTACATAACATACACATATACATACTTAAAGTATGTACAAATTTATACAGATTTGTTATGTTTGCTGTGTACGTTACAGTTGAGAGCTTGGCCTAGCAATGAAATATTCATTGTCATGTATTCCACCCCAGTATTGAGCTTTTTGCACACAAGGTGAAAAAAAATACCATGCACTAGTGCCTTCTCAGAGATAGGAAAATTATTGTGCAAATGAAAATGATTACATCATTACTAATAACTGTTAATATAATAAATATTGTGAGTAATTGGTCATTAAAAAATGTAATGAGGTTTTATTTGCTCATCAGTGGGATTCTTGATGATCATTAGCCATTTCATTGAGTTGTTTGTCTTCATTGACTTGCTGTACCATACTGTAGTTTCGGTGCTTGTATTCAAATCTCTTGCTCTGGGTTTAAATTCAATAATTTTTATGTACTAAAGTTAATAATTTGTATGTCACTGTAAAATGTTAATATGTTGGCTGCCAGCGACGAGTATACTCGTCTCACAAAATGTTGCTGAGGGCGCTAGAGACGACTATACTTGTTAAAATTTGGGTAACATTCTAGTGTTTATTACTTCTTTGTTATACATTGTATAAACCACAGACTTAATGGCTGTAGTTCGGGGAAGATACACCTAGACGATAACGTGCAAATAACGGATGTATGATTGTTGTGTTATATTGCTGGCCTCTGAACATATACCAACCCATGTAAAAAATCGCACTTGGCAGAGACAATAAAAATGCTGTCACAGTGCTGTCGACGAGTTTACTCGCCCCCTAATATTTTCCCGCCAATTTATTAGATGCACCATATTTGATGATATGATAGATAGATATTTAAAAAAAGTATGTTTGTAATATGTATACTTGTTCCCTCACATAGGAAGGAACCTAAAAAAAAGGTCTGGCAGTCAACGTGTTAGTTTCAAATTTATTTTACATTAAAAAGACTAGGACAGTTATTCCTTAGAGTGCATACCTCTGCCCTGGACCATATACCAAGCAATATGCAGGCTGTGTACTGTACGGGCAATTCTATTATTTTTCTTTCATGCTTGAGTGTAAAAAACAAATTAGTTTATGTGAATTGACCTTGTCCTTTGACTTTAACATTGGACAAAGAACTTGTTCATTCCAAAAACCACTGATTATATAAGATGATATGATGCTTGCACGCTCCAAAAATACTTTTTTTTCTTTGTATTTGAAATTACCAGGAATGACATTTTTATAGACTTGTGTTTATTGACTTTGCACTACATTCTACAAATACAGTAATTATTTTTCTAATAAAAATTTATTGGGTTGCATTGAGTAATTTTTACTCTATAATGAATCCAAAAATTAATCATCTTGAACTTCATTTATACATACTTACTGAACATCAGCATGCATTTCTACACTTGCAGTACAGTACTAATTTTCTTCTATAATGAAGAAGTAATTTGGTTTCAAATTGTTTTTTTTTCATCTATTCAAGGCTTAATTGATCTATAAGTAGCTTCTATATTTTCTTGTTGTCAATTATCTTGGCCTAAGTTTGTTTTTGTAATACTCACTGCCCATCTTAATTTTATTACAAATAAATCGCCTGACAATGACATCCAATCCTATAAAACTATCTCAATATATCCAAAAGGAAAATTTTTGAAAAGTGAAAATGGTTTTCTCATCTCTGGGTCCAAATCTGAGGAAGATTCAAGGGTAGGCCAGCTGTCCTGTTCTTCCTTTGGATCTGATTATTATTAACATTTTTTTTGTAACAACAACTTGGCAACAAAAGCCTTTTATATGCTTCAGCACAGCAGTTGTGCAATGTTAACCATTTGATGTTAACTCATTAAATATCTTTAAAATTAACAATTTCCCCTGATTAGATTTTTAAGACTTTTAGTATGTTATTTTGTGTATATTTCAGGAACAAATTCCTCAAAATATTTCTGTTGCAATTACAGCTCTGTGTTCATTATGATTTTGTCTAAAAGATTGACTGGTTTGACTATAAAGAGAGGCAGCATAAAACCTGGATTTTCAAATAGTCCACACTAGTTCACGCTAAAATGACTTAGTTTATTGTAATTCTCAATCATTCCATAATTAATCTGTTAAAAATAAAATTTTTGAGTTATATCCAATAATATGGAAATTCAAGTTGAAATATACTATTCTTTTAAGGCTCATGTAAATGTTTTATTGAATTCGAAACTCTTTTTTGCAGAAAATATTAATGTGTTTGGTATATTTTAAAAGATAAATGTATTGACTTGAAGAATGGGCACAGCCAGAGGGGGTCAATGGGGTCCTGACCCCCTCTAAATTAACAAATATATTTCGAATAAAGTAGTGTCATCTATGTGCAGCCCGTGTATCCAACTTTTTAAGCTGGTGGACAGTTCCTTCCAATCTGTAGAGACCAGCGGTGGGCCAACATAAATTTTGTGCTTTCAATATTTTTAGTGTCAGCCCCACTCATTCTTTTATATACTGTAGATCTACAACTTTTCTTTAGTAGGCCTATTATCAACTATGATAGACCTTGATTGTAAAAATGAGGGGATGCAGTAACAAGAGGGAAGGGTGGGGGATAAACAAACTTGCACCCCAGTTTCTCCTACCCTATAAATGCTAGAATTTTTCCGAGCCCAAAAACTCACTCATGTGCAAGTAGTTTAACAGCACCAGAATTCCAAGACGAGGAGTTCGATACCCTAAAAAATGGCACACATACCTCAGCCCCACGATGGTTGGGGAAAAGGTTTAAAAAAAAAAAGGAAAAAAGATGCCTCTAGATTCCCGGAAATGGCATTTTCAGACTGTAAAAATATGTTTTTAAAGCAGTGTTTTCGACAGAATGACATGCCCCCGAGGCTGCTCTCCGGATCCACCGCTGGCTCTGCTATTGGTTAGACATCACGTCATATCAGCACCCTTCCACACTTAATCCTGTATCCCCACAGTCTCCCCTCCCCATGTCAATACTCTTACTAGATACCATTAGCTACAATGCCAGAGTAGGTGGATGGCTTCATTTCATTTATTTATTCGACCAAAAAACAATACAAAAATTAGAACAAACAATGAAACAAATGGTCAGGAAAAACTAAAGCGATAAAAGTCACTATGACTCAGGAGTCAGTAATTCCAACATAAAATAAATCTATATATTATATACAAGACATAAAATACAAATAAAATAAGACTTCAAAATGGATAACAGTCATTTAATATAGTTGAACCTCCCTGTGCGTGCAACCACTTCCTGTTAAGTGATCACCTCCCTTAACATCCACTCTCATAAGGGCCGGTCTCCAGTTCTCCCTATCTAAGCATTTGATATTTCTCGTAGGCCACCCCTCCCGACTTGTTTAATTTTTCTTATGAATTTACGTCCTGTAAGCGACCACCTTAAAAGTTTGTATTAGGCCTATCTTTTGACAACAAATTAACATGGTAAAACCTCTCGATTTTGTCTTTTACAATGCAAATTTTCTGGTTCCTTTGGGCCTGCATCCCGCTCTCTTATACACATCTAGATGTGTATAAGCGCCAGCCCCCAACCTAGTTGCTCGCTGTGCCCTCAAGGCTTGACCCCCCCCCTCCAATTTTACTGTTTAGGTGCATCCATAGTGATTGACTGTAAGCAGTGCGCATTGAGAAAACAAAGTGCTCTTTATTCCGCCATGTTCTATTTCTGGTGGCGGGGAACACATTAAACTTCAAAGACATCGTGTATACAGTCTTCACGCACACTGCGGCAGCTCTGATATTGACTCATTTGCATTGCACTGCGTGCGCGGAGCCTTTTCGAGTGATCTCAATAATACCTCCATGGTTCTTTAGTACAGAGAAACCATTAAATATTTTTACTCATAACTAGCTTTAGCAATAGTAAGTCAATTCCAGTAGGCTAAATGACCTCTCATTTTAAAGCTTACAATGTGGAGAATAAGATTATATCAAAAGGTCAATTTTCATTTTTTTGGTCAATGATGCTGGTTTTGGGATGGCAATTAAGCCTCTATGAATCCTGTGGCTCGGCAAGGATTTACTACTAAAATTTGCTTTTTCTATGATTTTCAAATTTTCTCTCTTCTGTCAGCTGCAAGTTTATCACAGGAAAGTTAATTTCAAGTTGAATGTATAATTCATTGGTTTTGTGTCACTAAAATAATTTGTATTAATTGTAATTTGTAGTTTGTTACTTCATTTTTTAGTGATCATAAGTCCATCAAAATTGATACAATGGTCAAAGCAGCAACAGACATTTTCGTTGAGGCCACAGGGAAGGAGCCACAGTTCAAATGTCATGGTGGATGTGCAAGAGAGAACTTAGCTCTTCAAAATATTCAGGTGATGTTTTATTTTATTTACAAAATAAAGGAAATATGAAAACAGTCAACATCAAATCATTCCCAGGGTTTGTTTTAAAGCTTACAGTATACTGTATATTTCAGTGCAAACAATGTCATATCTATATAGGAGACTTGAAATGGGAGGACTAATAGTAGGGGGGAGGGGGGGGGGGGGGGGATTGTGAGTGGGGGACTTGGTGATTAAGGGAGAGGGCACTATGTAACAAAATATGGTGATTTTTAATACAACTTGAGCATGATTTGTTAGCTTCGGACATTTTAAATGGAGAAGGGTGGTTTTTTTTTTTGGTTGGTGGGTGGGTGTATTCCCTGCATCCCTAGATATGCCTCTGGGTGTGAACACCAAGGATAACACACTTAAGTTTGAGGACTTATTTCCTGTGGGGTTCTTCCAGTAGTGATTGGTCAGTGCATCGGGAGACAATCCCCTACACTCATTAAATTCCAAGCCCTGAATATTAACTTCAAACAACTAAGGTTAACTGGTGGGGTCACCCCTTGTAAATATATGGTTCAAAATTTAAAAATTAAGTAAATAAATCGTAAATATATAATTCAATTTTTTTTTCTACCAAAGGCTCGCAGTAGGATGGTGATGTCATATTTCCTTGCTCAGCTGAGTCTCTGGTCTAAAGGTCGCCCTGGTGGTTTGCTAGTTCTGGGATCAGGCAATGTGGATGAATGGTATGCTGAAGATCTTTTGTGTGAACAGACAAACTTAAATCTGTATCATTCTGAATTTTTATTTATGATTATATAAGATAGGATATAGTCAATACATATGTCAAACAATGTGAACTCCTGAAGCCCCACCATGGTTGCGGCTGAGGTAAGAAAATTATGATTATGGCACCTCTAGATAGCCAGAAATGGCACCCTTAGACTCAAAATTTGAATCAAATTTTCTTATTTTCTCAATTTTGTATTAAATTTTGAAAAGTTTTTGGGGGTGGGGGCCCTGGGCTGACTGGGCCCCCCCCCCCTTGAATCCGCCACTGTATAAGGACACATTCTAGAGAAGAATTAAATGTTACAATTCTGTATTGCGTTCATATGAAGGTGCATCTTATGTAGATTATTAGTGACCCGTGTAATATCCATTTATGAAAAAGACATCACAGAGAGACCTGAAATACTCCCTAAGCATGGATCTGCATGCATTCTAGGGGCAGAGCTTATTTTCTATTGTGATGTCATGTTTATCTTTGCTCTCTTCATATCAATTACACCGACTTTTAATGCTGGTTCAACAGACACACTGCTGGCACCGCAACTTCTAAGATACATTGTATAGAATATATATTCCTAGATGCCAGTAGGATTAAATGGCCATAGATTTGTGTTAAAATGATAACATATTATTTTAACTTTATTCTTGCTTTTAATGATTTCTTCTAGTTTGCGTGGCTATCTGACAAAATATGACTGCTCGAGCGCTGACATCAACCCGATTGGTGGAATCAGTAAAACCGATCTTAGGGGTTTTATCCTCTATGCCAAAGATAAATTCAATCTTACTGCGTTAGACAGGTAATCCTATTTTATTTGGCCGTCTTTCATGAAATTCTTTATGTAGAGTACTATAGCTTAGTACTTTCATGTAGTAGGAGTGATGGTTTTGCCCTATTTGACATGTATCGTAATGAGTATTCGATACGTTCCCAAATACTTGCAGAAAAAAAATCGCAAGTGTTTCTGGTAGGAATCGAACCCAAGACCTCCAGATAAATAGCCTGGTTTCCAACCACTGGACCACCGAGCTTGTGCTTTGTGATTAGTGCTGAATCCAAACCCAAAGTAGCAGGGGGTACTGCAATACTGTTTTGATGTGTGTTTGTGTCAGGAAAATATCATAGCAGGTATTCACTACTGTAAAATGTCAGGTAGGGTAAAACAACACTCCCATACAAATCAAAATACACATTCATATTCTTAAAACAGACCTTAAGTCCAGTCAAGTTTTTTCACTACTTTCCCTAGCAACATTTTTTTTTAAAGATTATGAGGCAAAAAAAAAAATATAATGTTGTTTTACTCATTTTAGCTGTCCATGCGGTTTAAGGTAAAGATTTTGAGGCCCCCAGGCCTAGGAAACAAAAGATTTGCTTTGGTTTCATTATGTGTATGATTGACCTGGTTTTATTTTTTTTCAGTATAATTAAAGCACCCCCAACTGCTGAGCTTGAACCATTATCTAATGGAGAAATAGCACAAACAGATGAAGTGAGTGTACTTTAGTTATGTTATACACATACAATTAGAAAATCCTCCTTTTGATTTCATTCTACATACTTTGGGATCAAAACTATAAATTACAATTTTATCATTTTTATTGATTTTTTGAAATATTGTTAATTGTGTTTCTTCTTCATTTTCATGTCCATAACAGATAATTTTGAATATTAAAATCTAAATTTAATAATTCAGTATGCTGTAGGCTTTTTGTTACTCTATATAAAACTTCTTTGTTTTTAATAATACTCGTTTGTTGTGTTCATGTTGTCAGTTTGACAAAGCTAGAAGATTTTTGCAGTATGTTTGAAGTAGCAATAAGTTTAGCTTTTTTCCACTTGGAGAAGAACTGTAGCATGGTCTCAGTTGATCCTGGGTTCAAATCAAGCACCCAATTCCCACAAGAAAAAATAAAAGTGTTATCCAATAAATATTGTAATGTATCCATGTAAAGTGCTGTCCAGATTATAAAATTTTCTTTCAAAAAACTGTTGTGTGCCTTATATAGATGTGATGTGCCTATATTGGATCATGATGTGTTGTCATGACCATATTTAGGCATGTCAAATGTTTTTGTCAATCAAATTTGGTAGTCTAGACGGGGCAGTGGTGGCACCAACAAGGGCAGGTGGAATTTGCTCAGACAGGCCTTATTAAAAATTTAAAAAAATATTAACTTACCTATCTAAATAATGCTATTTTGATTGCAATCCCTAATACTGTGGTCTAAAAGCACATTTATGATCAAATTAAGACATAAAACCCTCCCCATGAACCCTAACATGGATTTTTTTTACCAGGCCATTGAGTTCAGCTGAGGCTTCGTCGTCGCCTTGGTTCGGACCCCTCCGTTGGACACGTCAGATCCCTTGTCGGCAAATTTCTAGTGCCACCGCTGGGACAGGGCTTAAGAAAAACATACATCCCCGATGGTTGTAACACTTCTAGATATTTAGCACCGTCTTCCAAAGGATGTTAAAGAATGTAATAACCTCAGAAATTTTAAATATGCATAGTATAGTAAAAATCTTAAACTGACTGCTTTTAACCTAGAAGAACCTTCCCCGTAATATTTTATTCATGTATAGGTATATATATTTTTCAAGTTTTAAATGTTTTCATTATTGATATTTTATATTTGTAAGGACCCCTCTTGATAGGATCGTTTGATGACATCTTTTGTGTGCTAATCCTTTTTCATGTTATTTCTATTAGTATTTTAATGTAAATTGTGCTTTGGTTTATTATTGATTAAACACTTTTACAATTATTTTAATGTTATTGAATCATGATTTTTCATTTGTTTTCATAGGGTTTTATCTCTGTTTTAATGTGTTTCTTGTTCCAGCATCTTTTATGATTGTATTTTATATGTATTTATATTGAAACGAAATAAATTCAATTCCACAAGATTCGGCTTTTACGTATCTATGTCGGCATATCAATTTTATTTGACAAGAAACAGTTGTATGCCCATAGTAATGATGTGCCTATGTATATGTCCATGGATGTCATCATGACCATATTCAGGCATGTCGCATCTTTTGTCAAATCAATTTTGATAGTCTAGACAGGCCTTAATTCATTTGTGTGAAGATGACAATTATTTAAGTAAAAATATCTTAAACAATGCTTGTTAAAATTTTGTTTTGTGTGAATAGGTTATTATATTACAGAGTTAATTATATTCTGTACATTGCAAATCATGTTGCTGTCAAGTATTACAGTTTTTGTTTTAATATAAATTAATGTTTAATTTATCATCATCATCATCATCATCAATGTTTTGCGTCTACTAGCATTGTACATCAATGTCTCTTTCCTCCTGGTTCGATCTGATGCGATAAATCGTTCGTGCGAAGACGACAATTATTTCATAAAAATATCTCAAAAAATGCTTGTTAAAATTTTGTCTTGTGTGCATCGGTTAGTATATTACAGAGTTAATTATATTCTGTATGTTGCAATTCATGTTACTGCCAAGAATTACATTTTTTGTTTTAATATAATTTAATGTTTAATTCATCATCATCGTCATCCATGTATTGGGTCTCCTAGCATTGCACATCAATATCTCTTTCCAGCTGGTTCGATCTGATGCGATAAAGTGCATAGATCAAACATTTAATTAAAATCCCTTTATTTCCTTTTTTATTCTTGTTATCCATGTTATTACTGGTCTGCCTACAAGTCTACTGACTGGCCGGCTATATTCTATCAATGCCTTTAGTGCTGGTGCGTTATGATCCAGATTTAAGAGTCCCAAAAAGTGTAGTCTTCTTTGTTTTTTTAATAACTCTGTTACATCTTATTGTGTTTGTTTTATTGTATAGTTCATAAATTTTTTCTAATTTTTAGTGCTGTGCACACATTTTTACCCGCACAGCATGTACGTAAGGTATAATTACATTTTTTTTTTACATATCTGGAGTTGCTGATATTGTATTCACAAATTTCATAGCTTTTTTCAGTCATTTTAGGGCCAATAACAATGCCATACATGTGCATCAAACATACGAATCCGGGCGCTCGTTAGTGTTGACCTACAGTGAAAATATGCCAAAATCATGCCTACTGCATTTTAAATCAGTTATAGCTTCTTAGGATGCATGGTGACCGCCAAGTTTTTATTACATATTCTGAAAGGACATGAGTTTGTAGATATGATTGTATAGATCATTATGGGTAATCGGATATTGTGACTCATTATATTGCCATCTGAATTTAAAAAACTGTTGTTATACGCATTTGACCGTATCTCACTTATCCTTGATCAATCATCTCCAAAGTGTCAGTGTATTATAGCCGAGACAATTTCCTTTCATAATTGTGTCCTCCATTTTCATTTTGATGATGTCATCATTGTCCAAATGAATGTTTTTTCTGCCTCCCCCCCCCCCCTTATTTTCTTCCTTCAAATCTTTGTAAAATTCTGTGATTTATCATGCCGACTCCCGCCAGAGGACGGCAGACTGGTTTGCAACACTGACACGAATATACTTCATATCAAGCGTCTGCTTCGTGTGCCATTACTGTCTGTGTGCGCACGTGTATTGATTTTTGAAATTCTCCAGATCACTTTTTGACTAGTTTAAAGCACATTTCAGGCCATTTTAAACATTTCAAAATTTCCTTTCGTACCCTACGAATCACCTAAAATTCATCATTGAGTAATTTAAATCTAGTTATATTTTCTTGTTGTCATCACTCCCATTGTCATTGTTGTTATTTTTATGTTTAGCTGCATTTATTCTGCATATATTCTTACTCTATGAACACATTTTTTGTTTACTTGTTTGATCGATGACAATAATGTATTCTTGATAGTTTGCTCGCTTTTAAATGTAAAACAGTTTTTTTAAATCATTTTTTTAAAACAATAGATGGATATGGGAATGACGTATGAAGAACTGTCATTGTTTGGACGTCTTCGTAAGATGTCTCTATGTGGACCCTATAGTATGTTTCTCAAGCTTGTGCATAAATGGAAGGACACTGTTACACCATCTCAGGCAAGTTTTAAAATGCTTTATCTGCTTGTGTTTGATGAATGTCATGTTGGCTCAATAAAAAATTCATGTACATGTAATTATAATTCAGGTTGCAATTTTATTGTTCCTTTCAGATAATTGTATCAGGTGCATAATCAGTCAAGTTGCATGAATATAAAATACCACTTGCTATAATAGAATATCAATACAGTTTTCTAAAAAAAGATTAAGTAATATACATTGATTGATACCTTTATCAACAACAATAGGTTTTGTATGGCATACAACATACATACAAGACTTTTATGATATTTATGCAAGACCAAAAAAATGCTGTATAGACCTGTCTAATGCATACAAAATCAATGTTTTAAGCTCTATTTGATAAAACAGCAATTCACCAAGGATTGCCTAATCACAATGCCAATATTGCTGAAATCGAAAGATAGAATGATCCTCTTTATTAGGTTTTGTGTAGTGGTTTTTACTGTATAAACTTTCAATACTTTGGCAGATCTTATTTTTTTAAATTTTTTATAGTACTTATTACCTTCATTTTAAGGAAGGGAATAATGAGTGGAGGGAGCAATAGGTAAATGATACAAAATACGTTAAGTACAAGAAAACTGTGCATGATTTAACAATTTCCGACACACATTTCCATATATTTAAAGAAGAAAATTTCCAAGATTGTACAATCAGAATGAGATGAATTATTACAACAGGTTTCCTTAATAAGTTACCACTTAAATATGCTGTCGGTTTTGGCTTAATTATTGTCAGCTCAGGATTTATTCAATTCATACCTAATTTAAAGCAGTTGTTTGCCAACCTTGTCATATTTTTGTTTGTTTTTATTTACGCCAAAAACAAGATCAATTGTCAAATAATTTTGGTACAGAAATATTCTTGGGTCACTGACAGGGTGTGCAACTATTTTCCAGATTCCAGTCTATTCCTTGAATTGACCAATTCAAACATATTGTATGTATGTTATTTTTACAAACAGTTTTGTAATCTTGTTGTTCATTAGGTTGCCGATAAAGTGAAGCATTTTTTCCGCTCATACTCAATCAATCGTCACAAAATGACCGTAATGACACCATCCTACCATGCTGAATCCTACAGTCCCGACGATAATCGTTTTGATTTACGACAATTTCTATACAATCCATCTTGGTTATGGCAATTCCGGTGCATAAATCATGAGGTATGTTCATCATCAGAATTATGGGTATATTTCATGTAAAAGGTTATATATTATTTTTGTGCATGTAGAGATGACATAACCATAAATGTTTCTGCCTCAGCCCATAGAGATATTATCCCTAAGTGACAATATTATAGTAAAAATCCATCTGTAATTGACAATATCATATTAAAACATTAATCTCTATTAAGTGACAATATTATAGTAAAACATTAATCCCTATTAAGTGACAACATAATTAAATGACAACATAAATATAGTAAAACATCAATCTCTTAAAGTGACAATATTATTATAAAACATCAATCTTAAGTCACAATATTATACTAAAACATCAATCTCTAATTGACAATCATAATTTTTAAGTGACAATATTATAATAAGACGTCAGTCCCTAAGTGATAATAATTACAGTAAAACATCTATCCCTTATTGCCAATATAATATTAAATCATCAATCCCTAAGCGACAATATTATAGTAAAACATTAATTTCTAAGTGACAATATTATAGAAATATCAGTCCTTAAGTGACAATATTATAGTAAAACATCAATCTTTAATTGAAATATTAACACATCAGACCCTTAAATTTACAGTAGTAAAACATTGATCCCTAAGTGACAGTATTATAGTAAAACATCAATTCTTTCAACTAGATTTACGAGTCGTTTAGAACTAGAACAGCTACTCCATATACAGTAGTGCATACCTCCGCCCTGTTCCATATACCAAACAATACACAGACTGTGTTTAATAGGCGATTCGTTCTATACCTTCTAGAGTAAAAAATTTAATTTCCGTCACCTTGTCCCTTGACGTTTTCATCCCAAAATTTAATCATCTCTTTATTATGTACGATTTCACTAAATTTTATAATGATCCATTCGTTAGCTTTTGCGTAAACATGCTAACAGGCAGACAGCGATGGATATATGACCTTCTTTAGCGGAGGTAAAAATAATCTTAGGTTTGCGATTAGATTTATTTACATCTGTCAACTAACATGTGAATGAAATGTTTTGAATATATTTCACTAAAGAATTTAAACAAATTTTTAATATTACTTGTAGGTCCAATTGATTGAGAAATCCCCTGGAATTAAAAGCACTCAGAGTGGATCACAGAGAATCCCAAATTTTGCAGATGACATAGGAAAAAACACAAAGAATAAACAGACGCTAACACCAAGTCCTGGAAAGAGTGGTTCCAGCCAACAAAAGCGAAAGGGTATAGTAGTGGCATCAAACAAATCAGAATCAAATTCAATGGATAGCAAACCTAACACACTGCTCGCTCATCATATTACTTGTGTTGACAAAACTGTTACTTCTGACGGGCGTTGGGGTATTTCGGATCCAGATACAGTTGGGTTTGATGAATGTGGGGCTCATTCTAACTGTTGGTACCAAAAGGAAAACAACAAGCAAACTGATTTTAGATACAAAAACGCATCTAGGAAAAGGCACTCAAGAGATTTGCTACAAGGAGAGCCATGTAAAAAACAACGAAATCTCAATAATTTTACCTCCAAGATATCAGCAGTAGGAAGTAGTGTTGGGGGTTGGTTTAAAAAAATTACTACTTGAATTGATAATTAATAGATCATAGAAATTTTTTTAAATAGGTTTAACAGATTTTAAATAAGGCCAAATAAAAAAACTATTGTGTTGGCCACGCCTGACCAATCCAAAATGTTCAAAACTGAGAGTCGGCATTTTATTTTATTTTTTAACATCGAAAAGTATTTTTTTAATGAGCTAAAAAGCTTGAAATAGGCCTATCTTGCGACGGTAGGCAATGCGACATTGTTATTCAATCGTTTCGCTCTTCAATATAGATTTAAAAATGGTCTTTATTGTATTTTGTGTATTTTCTACTTTTTAGGCATAAACAGTATTTGGTGAAAAAATAAATAAAATTAAAAAAAAAAAACTTTTCCGACAGACCTACTCATTTTTTTGGATTTTTCCAAAACCTGGCCAACAATTTTTTTTATTGGTCTAATGATTTTTTTTATTCTTTGTTCATGTATATTGTCATGATATTTTACCCATTATTATTGCAACATATTTGTCATCTTTACACCCCTCGTTCTTTTTTCTTAGGCCATTATAGTGAAAAATGTAATATGAATGACACGTCCTGATTTTCAATATTTTTTTGGAAGTCTAGTCCAGCATAACCCTTAAATCTGACACATTTTTTTAAAAGAAATGTGACATTTCTATGTGGAGTGTAGTTTTGAAGTTGAATAATTTGAGTAGTATATCTGTGGTATGTTGACAAAAAAGTTGGTTTAAAAATGAAAAACAGTTGATCCATTTAACAGGTGACTTGCATACAAATATGCAATGTTAAGTTTAAAAGAAACACTCATTATTTACATGTATTTTGAAGGTTGGATACTTGGATTGTTCTGAAAAGAACTGTTGTTTTAGTTGAGTATTGTGTCTTTTTGATTGAGTTGCTTCAATCGTCATCAGGAGAATAATATCTGCAGAGAATCCAAACAGGAAATATTTATATTTGCTGTTTTCACAATGGGTAAGAATATGCCAAACAGCAAACTTAATCTAATTTTCTAAGTGGCAGTCCCTTCCCAAGATAAACATACACACAAGATGCTTTACAGACTAAATTTCATTCTGAAATTTTAGGGAGTTATTTTGGTTGTGTGAAAAAATCCTGTTATCATTACATGAATTGAACCCGTGACCCTTGGATTGGAA